GGGGAGCAGAACAGGCAGATCGACGAAGTACACTGCTGAGGGGAGCAGCGGGCGGTCAGGAGAGGTCTGCCACGCCATGTGGTCTCCTCCGGGGCAGGCTGGAATCAAACTCATGCGGAAGCGACTTTAGATTCTCAGTGCTATGCTTTAACCCGCTGCGCCACCAGGGAGGGCCTGGTCATGGGTTTTTAAGCCAGTATTCGTATTGCAGAGTGACTTGGAAATCTATGTTCAAAATATGTTTTTTAAAGTGGTATTTTGAAAATTTGATATCAAACAGTTTAGTGAGGAATTAAAGATCTCTTTTTTTAAGACTCATTGTCCGGCACATACTGGCAGTGGTAAATTCAAATGCCTTTTCTTCTGTGACACAGATGGTAATACATTCTTAGAATTGAGAACTATGGCAGCACTGCATTGTATTTTATATTTAGCATCCTTACCAAAAAAAGGAAATGATATTTAGTTAATATTCTACAAAGGGCATTTTGATATTTATAATATACTATTCCAGTTTGTACTTAAAAATTACCTTCTTAAGAAGCAAATGGTATTCTATTTTTATTATACTTACCCCACATGAAATAGACTTTTATACCAAATGCCACTAAATCCATTTATATGTATGTGACAGCTGATTTCTGCTAGTTCCTAGGAAGATCAGTTTTTTGTTGGAATTTTTGAAAGTGATAATATATTTGAATAGTTAATGTGGGTAATAATGAGGAAGCTGTGATTATGCAAGACTTAATAAAATGAACAGTGTTTTGACTGGAAATGCCAAGATGATTCTAAATCACAGAGAAAGTATATTAAAATGATGAGAGAAATCATAGCATTTTAGCAAAAGGCTGTGAGATATCCACAAGTTGTGAGGAATAATGCTAAAAGGTAATTTAGTAAAATTGTTATCAATCCTGATGGTATAAAGGGTGTAAACATACCCTTGTATGTTTAAGATGACATACTGATCTGTGGGATCCTCTTCGGAATTTTTATAGGGTA